ACGATGCCAAAAGAAGTAAAAACGACAGAGAGCAAGAAATTGCAATTCTCCTAAACATTGCGAAAGCCCATTCATGAAAGCGAATCTCCGAAACAAACTTGAATTTAAAGCACACCGTTTTTCACAGTGAAAGTGAGGTGCACAACTCATAAATTATTCAAAAGCACCCGGTTGTATCACACCGGTCCAGATACAGGAAGGAAAGAAGCGTCGGGTCCATCCGGTATCCTTTTTCGTGAGCTGCGACTCCATAAGTTGCCGAGATTTTCGCACAAAATCATGCGATGGCTCCATAAATTCCGGGATGCAAGGACTCCGCCTTCCAATGGGCGACTTAATATTCCCGGCTCCGCCTTATTTACGCGCGTCGGGAACTCATAAATTTCAAGCTCAAGGCGTTGCAAATTCGTGTCTTCCATTGCAAAAAGAAAAACACTAATCTTCGTTGAATTTCCATTGTCGTTAAGTGGTTTTTACTCTGCGTGGGTGAGGACGAGTCCAGAGAAAAAGAAGAGAGAGGACACGGGTTCCTCCAGGTCCGACGTTATTGTTATGTGGACAGGGACGTAGTTTTGCTCACCTGGCGCTCCTGACCTTCCAAGTAATGATATTTTGATGCCTCGTAAAGTATTTAAATGCTGTAGGCAGTAATCGATAAAATTAAAGACGGAAAGTTGAGGATGCTGCACGGCATTGCAATCTCAAAGCCATTCTGACTTTATTTATTTTATTCATTTTATACTAATATAATGTATGATAAAAAAAATTTAGTGGTCAACTTTTCTAACCTTTCGTTAAAGTCACTTGACAAAAAGTGTAAAGTATCCTTTCATCGAAGAAGTTTTGAAATTTATAACCCTTTATTTCTGAGGTACATCAAATTAATGAATCGTTTGTTTTTCTAACCTTTCGTCTAAGTCTCCAAATGTACAAAACCATCCGCAATGACTCCGCGAAGTTTCTTATATCACGTGGTGACCCTCGTAAAGTGGCAACACTTTGTCCCTATATTTAATGTCATTATAAGTAGCCGATTCTTTGAAGGCAGCTTATCCTACCAAGAATCGATATGTATCGATTGTTTTTATGCATTTAAATGAGCGAAGCCCAGATTTGCCTACTTCCAAGAATTTCCACTAACTATGTCAGTGCTCCAAAGTCAAAAGGTATATCTAACTCCATTCCTTGTTATTTTGATATAACAGGGGAGACCTGCGCATCGTTCCAATTGATTCTAATATACAGGGTGTGCGAAAAGTCCCCGACCCCCCCTCTAACTTTTGAACGGATTGAGCTAAGGAAATGAAACTTTGGGAATGTTCCTATCTCAAAGGGGACCATCTTTTGAGGGGGTCAAAATTTTGGTCCCCCCCCTCAGGGGGGGACAGGGGCCCCCAACTTTTTTTTTCAAATAGCAACCCCTATCTTGTGATACCTCATTCAAAAGAGTATAAAAAATTAAGAATTTTGGCACAAACCGCAGATCAATATCTCAATTTTTGACCGAGTTATGATAGGTCAAAGGTCAAATTTGACCTATTTTCAAAAAATCATAACTCCGGTTCAAATTATCGTGAAGAAAAAAATAAAACGGGAAAATTTACCAAATTGTGTTCGCTTTTACGTAAAAATTGCAGAAATCACTTCGATTTAATTTTAAGGGGAGGCTCGGACCCCCAAATACGTCAATTCAAAGGTCATTCAATTTTCCTGCGAAATAAGCCAATTTCCTCTGGATTTGCCTCCACATTATCTCAGTAAGGTCAAAATCAGTTCAACATTACGTTGGCAAGTCCCCAAATTTCGGGAAAAGTTAAAAAAACGAAATTTAAACGGTCAAATTTAATCACCTTAAATTTCGTTTTTTTAACTTTTCCCGAAATTTGGGGACTTGCCAACGTAATGTTGAACTGATTTTGACCTTACTGAGATAATGTGGAGGCAAATCCAGAGGAAATTAGCTTATTTCGCAGGAAAATTGAATGACCTTTGAATTGACGTATTTGGGGGTCCGAGCCCCCCCTTAAAATTAAATCGAAATGATTTCTGCAATTTTTACGTAAAAGCGAACACAATTTGGTAAATTTTCCCGTTTTATTTTTTTCTTTACGATAATTTGAACCGGAGTTATGATTTTTTGAAAATAGGTCAAATTTGACCTTTGACCTATCATAACTCGGTCAAAAATTGAGATATTGATCTGCGGTTTGTGCCAAAATTCTTAGTTTTTTATACTCTTTTGAATGAGGTATTACAAGATAGGGGTTGCTATTTGAAAAAAAAAAGTTGGAGGGCCCCTGTCCCCCCCTGAGGGGGGGGGGGACCAAAATTTTGACCCCCTCAAAAGATGGTCCCCTTTGAGAAAGGAATATTCCCAAAGTTTCATTTCCTTAGCTCAATTCGTTCAAAAGTTAGAGGGGGGGTCGGGGACTTTTCGCTCACCCTGTAATCGCAATTGTTGAAACACCGTATATCGGAATTGGCATGAGATAGGGCTACCTTTCCCTCACCCATCGAAGAGCTATTGGAAATTTCCAAAACATCGGCCGTCATCTCGATTTTTCTGACAAAGTGATTTAGGTACATTTTAGCTCTCGGGTACTCATATCCTTGCATAGTTATATTAATTTTTATTAAATACTTTTGAATGAACTAAAAATTAAACGAAAAATTTATAACTATAAAACTGGTATAAGAAAATTTCATTTTAATGCAATCTTAACAAATCATAACATCCATCGTGTTTTTGCTCCTCACAAAAAAATAGAAAGCCTATTTTTCGCATTCGCTCTTATTAATCCTTCATATCACGTAAGTGGATCCAAAAGGAGGCGTAAGGGGCTCACGCCCCTTCCGTTCACCCAAAATAAGAGGAAGAAGATAAAAGGAAGAATGAGAGAAGGAAGGAACGGAGGGAAGAAAAAGGTAAGACGCTTACATTTGACTCATGTTCGTGGCAAAATTGACTCAAATTGCAACACTACTTTTTTTTTATTTTATGCTTTTTCGGAAATTTTCCGGGAGAAGTCTCCCCGACTTCCCTTCCACTCCCCTTCCCGCTCGAAATGTCTGGATTCGATCACAGCAGTATATTTTTCTACACGTGAGGTCCTATAGAGTAGTTTTTCCGCGAATTTTCACCATAATTGGCGGAACCGCTGCTGCCTCAAGTCTGAAAGCTCCTTTTAGGATGCACTTAAACCTCATGAATGCGTCTGGTAAGTTTGAATGTATCGATGTTACGCCATGAGGGCGGTAAACTGCCCTCGGCCAGGTGCATCGCACCGGGCGTGAGCATTAACTAAGAAAGCATAACTGCTGATAGGAAGCCTTGGTAGATGGGAGGCTTTTGCCAAAGCGGTATAGAAGAATGGTCGCGGGACAAATTCGAGCGTCGCGAAGGAGATGACAACTGACCGACGACAACGGAGTCGTAATTGCAGCGTCTAGCGCCACCCACAGTGCACTCCACCATGACGCCAAATTTGTCTATGATATGTGAAACGCTCGTATGACACTTTACATCACAATTTGGATGGTACCTTAACATCGTATCCTTCGCATATAAAAAAGGAAGGGCATAGAGAAGGGCCGTTTTTTAGCATAATGGTGAAAAAATATATAATTCGAGAAAGTCTCATTTAACTATGAACGCAAGATTTGATATTGACGAAAATTGGCTAAAGAGACTCTCCTAAATTTCTAATGAGCCCGCTTGAAGAGCTTTTTTCTCCTCTAATCAGATCCGTATATGAAAAAGCTTATCGAATCCCAAAAAACCCACATTGCCCATACGGCCCCAGACCCATTTTCACCCAGTATCTTACCTGGAAAGAAACCGAAAATTATCAAATGATACATTTCGCAAATTATAGACCTGCAATGAGCAAAAAATTATACGGTTGAGGAAATTCAGGGTGGGCCCAAAACGGCCCTTATAGATACCCCTGCTCCTTTGCAAAAACTTTTGAATGCCGTGGTGCAGAGTTGGAGAACTTTGGCACTGTATATAGAAAACAACTTCGCACATGAGACCCAAAGTTCAGGTCATATGGATCTCTGAAGTTTTCGGATCACGCATCCGAAAACTTGAGGTCCAGCTGCCGAATTTCGGGCCAGACATCTGAAGAACTTCGGTATGTACCCGAGTACTTCAGATTTGTGACCCGAACCCTTCGGTATGTACAGAAGTACTTCAGATATCTGACTCAAACTTCGGCAGCTGGACTTCAAGTTTTCGGATGCGTGATCCGCAAACTTCAGAGATCCATATGGACGTATTTCTACCAAACAGACCTATATGGAGGTGAGAAATATGGGGTGTGCTCGTCGAAGCTGCATAAGAAGCAATGTAAAAGTGGGCGTGATTCCTTTTGTAGAATTGGAAAAGCGGGATATTACATTCTATCAAACAGACCTATGTGCCAACTGAATGCGGGATTCATGAGCCGCGGGCATGGCAGGAGAGCGTTGTGGACAGGGCTCATGCGTTAAAGCGCCCCGACGACGTTCTCCCCCTGGCGCTCGCTCTCGTTCATTGCCGCTGACGTCACTGGCGCTTTATTATTCTCATTTACTCTTACGTAAAGAGAACTAACGAGCACACCCCATATTTCTCACTTGCACATAGGTCTGTTTGGTAGAAATACATTCATATGACCTCAACCTCTGTTCCCATGCACGAAATTTCTTTCTTCGTATGCTTTTTCCCCCACAAAATGACACAACTTTTTTCGTTTTTTTTTTGCAAGTGGCTTTTGAATTCCCGACGGAGAAGAATCGAATAAAAATCGAAGAAGGAATGAATCGGTGGATTTGGTATGAATAGAATTGAGGGAGATGCACCGGGTGAATGGGCGGACCCACCGCGAAGTGACCGGTGGTAATGGGAGCCGCGCGCGGTCCTTGATCGGAGTTGATGGGCCGGCATCGGCAGACAAATAAGACATTATGAAGTTATAAAAACTATGGTGGATGGGCGTCGCGGTGTCAAGTCCGATCGCGCGAGATCACCCGGCAGTTCCGTTGCGGCTCACATTCGCGCCGTGACCCGTCACCCGACAGGACGCGCTTCAAGTGTTGTTACAAGTGTTCCGTTGTCTTACACGCCGACCGCGACTACTCCTACCAGTGTTACGCGCAGTTGATGGTGTCCCACAGATGGATATGATACAGGTTTGTGCCGCTTATCCCAGCTTTGCTTCGGGTGTTTGGTGGAGCTTTCGTTGGTGTCGAACGTCACGTTGGAGGACATCGTCTTTTTTTTAAGGGGATTTTTCTTCGCGAGAACTTTTACCGGTCCAAGTAAATCCCGACATGCTGAACAAATTGTGGACAGCGGCTGATTTATAGGAAATTTTGCTTGACGTGTCCAAAAGTTGGAAAACGTCTTTTTCTTGGAAATTTTTCTTTACGAGAATGTTTATCGGTCAATGTAAACCCCTACATGCTAAACAAATTCTGAACTGGTTTTTTTTTATTTTATTTTTTTTTTTTTAAGGATATCTTTCATGACGTGTTCATCAGTCGGAAAACGTCATCTTTTTTTGGAAATTTTTCTTTAAGAAAATTTTTACTGGTTGATGTTAACCCCAAAATGTTAAAAAAATTGTGAATTGAGGTTTATCCGAAAGGAAGGTTTCTTCCTTAAGATTTGAGAGGGTGCTTATCGATCTCCGTTGAATTTAGCGCGCCCCAAAAATCGAAAATATTTTCTCCACTTCTTTTTTTACAGTTCGTTTGCAGAGGACATGTACCACTCGATGTAACACCCAATATGTTAAAAAAGAAATTGTGGAATTGGTTTTTTTTTTTTTTTTAAAGGAAATTCTTCTTTGAGAGAAAGTCTAACGGTCAATGAAAAATCCAGCACGCCCTAAAAATTGAAAGTGATTATATGACCTGTATTGTCCTCTGCAAATAAACTGTAATATTTTTTAACCGTAGAATAAACTGTAATATTTTTTAACCGTAGAATAAACTGTAATATTTGTTTACACTTTATTTGCACGGGACGGGACATCCGGTCGATGTAATATTCAACACGCCCAATACTCGTAAAATGATTTTTTAATATTTTTTATTTTGGAAAGAAGGCTGCACTTACGGTCAATTTTTGAATAACTTTTTTCTCTGCAGGAAATAGTTCATATTTTGATTGCAAACGTTTTAAGAACGCCTCCAACGCGGCAATGTAAGAGAGAAAAGTTTTCGAATTTGATTAAAATTCATCAGTTTAACCGTGGAACTAGGTCCTCGATTGGAATTACGATGGTTTGCCGCTGTAAAAATATGAAATACAAAAGAAAACAAATCTACCTCCATTGCGGATTATCCAAACTTCGATGTAGGTCCCTACCTACCTTGGAGTTTCACAAGATCACAGAACATTTTTTCTGTGCTTGCATTGTTTGCAGAGAATAATCACCGTGATCTTTCGTAAAGATCCATATTCATGATCATATTCAACTGGTGCACTTCACTCAAAATTCTTAAAAATTGTCCCCTCTATAACACTCTGTTAAAGGCGTTCTTAAACCTTCTTTGATCATATAGTAATCCATATGGGGCCTCTCCAAGAATACGAACTGCTTAAGGCACGACTATGCATACGACTCTTAGGAGACTCCAAAATGTCCAAGAAAATTAAAAAAAAGTTCCTTCATAAGAAGACTTCTACCGCGTGCGGTAATTTCACCGCAAAGATTCCGAAAATTGGACTCATTTCTTAAAACAATAATTATTAGCACAAAAAATGCATGGCCAACCTGACCGTATTCATTGAAATATTAGAAAAGGTAAAAAAAGAGAGAGGGGAAAAAAAAAGATTTTTAGACTATATTCAACAACTTCAACGCCTCTGAGTAAGTCTCATCCGTTCGTTGAAGTTATTTTTACGGTGAAACTCCCAAACCGCGTATCTCGTTCGCGATGTTTAAGAATTTTCACTCCTGTTATAATTTTTAAAGGAGATCAGATCAAAATTCTTCATTGCGGTTTTCACAGAATTTTCTACACATAGAGAAAAGAAAAGTCTAGAAGTTTTTAAAAATTGGCATTGGGTGCAATTTTCCATTTAAAAATTAAGAATGACAGAAAGTCTGCAACGTCGCAAACCGAGATAGGTAGTTTGGAAGTTTCACCGTCGATCTCCTCCTTCACAGTAGTCACGTGATTAAAAACCATGAACATTTCCGTGGAAGTAAATTCGTCAGAGATTCAAACAATACAAAATCATGACCGGTTTACGTATCTGTTTGAAGCTCAGACAGACTAGACTGATTTTTCGTTCATCCCAAGGGAACTTGAGTCGTAAAATTAAGTGCCACAGAGTTCTCGCTCGTGATTGAAGTGTGCTTCAATTTCTTGCCTCTCGGGTATGAACGCGGTCCTATCGCTCTGATGATCTTTCCGTATAATTGTTATGAATGAACATCGTTATGCTGCACACGGAAAAAAAAGAACCGTCATTTTAACAGTCACATTGAATGTTAAATTTGTTTGACGTTTCTCTGTTCTTTTACTTGTGGTGACTGCTAATTGAACATTTTAAGTATGTTGAAACAAAAGTATGCAAATCTGTTAGCTCAACATCTTATTGATGCTTTTGAAATAACATTCTGTATGTTATTCCATCATCGCACGACTGTTGAGTTAACGTCAGGTGCGGTTCATTAAATCAACAGTTCCTGAAGCTTTTGAAATGACTGTCATTGGCTTTTCATTTTACAGTCCACACTTTATTTTGACATTCGTTTGGATATTAAATTTACATTCGGGCAGGTGTTGGTCTAATGTTTTGAAGGCCGTTAAATTCGCAGGAATAAACTGGTAAAGCAACAGCGAGGGTGTTGAAATAGCAGCGGACAATTTAACAGCGGGTTGACTGTAAAATGCTGACCGTTGCACGGAGCATTCCATCCCGGCCGGTCCCACGCGATCGGCGCAGAGCGCATGCGCAGTTATATACAGTCGTCGATCTTCCCACCCCCGCTACGAGCGGTGACGCAAAAAACCTCTCCTTACCCTCCAGCCTCCACTGTCCACCCTCTTTCTCGAGGGTTGCGCTTGCGCGCCAACCTGACAATGGGCCCGGTCAGGGAAATTCTCAGAACTGTAACCGCCCGGGCCCGGTGTCCGGCTATGTTTCTTCCTTCGGCGTTGTTCGCGCATTCCAGTCTGTTCGCTGAGGCGGCCATGTCACTGTTTTAAGGGATTTCGTTTGCTCATCAGTTAGTAGTTTTGAGTCAGAGGTCAGAGAAGTCTTGCGCTTGCGTTTCGAAATCGTGCTCAAATTGTGTTTGCGAGTGAATTTTGGCAAAGAAAGTGATTAGTTTTGATACTCAGTGCGTGATCTGTAAAATTAGTAGCTCCATAGGAAAGTAACTCTTACGATATAAGAAAATTTGGGCACTTTGGAATCAGTTGCGGGCAGACGCTATTTTTTGAGGCATCATCACGAATTCGTTCAACTCGGAATTTCTTCTGCCGTATATTTGTGTGTTTTGGTTTCAACTTCACCATTGACATTACACGCACTTTCGACTCAATTAGGTTTGCGTTCAGTGCATACAACTATTATTTTTAGCGTGCCTTACATATTTATATGCAGGCACGGTTTCGATTTCGTTTCCCGTAGATTATACCATCAGCCCTATCTTCTATACTTTCCGATGGTTTTTTTTGCAGAATCCTAATTCCATTGTGTGATTTTTTCCTTTTTTAAGTTTAAAGAAATCTAGGCTGTTTTGAAATGAAATGAAGTGATAATTTAGCAAATCCTAATCTTGGTAGAATTTTTTGAAACCTTTTATAATACATTCTTCGTGTTTTTAACTCATAAACACAATCGGTTGTTTGGTTCTTACGTTGTTTTTTATTAATGACGCCAACGTGACATTGTCTTAATGACGTAAAGTGTTTCAATGTGTAATACAGTGAAGGTATGTGCGATATCTGACCAGGCCGCGAGCGATAAGTTGGGTTTTTTGGAAAAAAGAAAATAACCGGTGGAGAGGGAGGGTTTAAAATGTGCCTCACTTAATTTGTTGACGACCCCTAAGCCATGATTAATTCTGCTCCACCGAGAACTGCAAAGATGCATACTTTGTGTTGTGTTTTTGTGCATTTCAGCTGTTTAATTTTTGTGAAATTAACTCATTGTGAAACTGATTTAGTCTGTAAATGTTACTTTAACCGGAATATTATCTATGGTTTTTGCATCATTTACTTGAAACCAGTTAAGCAATTATCAGCTATTTACATAAGCATGTAAGTATGACCATGATTTTTTACAGCTGCGTGGGATATTGTGTCTGCTACTTTAACAGCAGTATGAATGAAAATTCAAGAGCGAATTTGCTTTTACACGAGCAGCAGCGCTGCTACATCGACAGCAGCGTGGATTTAAATTCAAGAGCGAACCGGCCGTCATGAAAACAGCGACGCTGCTATTTCCACAGCAGCGGCCGCTGTTAAATCGAAAGCAGCGTGAGCGTCAATCTGATGGGGAACCGACGCTTACGCCAGCAGCTGCGCTGCTAGTGTAACAGACTAGTTGATGTAGGTTGAGCAGATTTTGTTGTCATTGTTACATTCATTTACTGTCAATGTGACAGCAAAGCGCCTGTTATAATAACAGACAAAGGTAATGTTATTTTAAAAGCCGGGATGCTGTGCCGTTTTTTAACATCCAAGGACTGTTTCTTTAGCAGTCGCGACGATTAAAATGACAGTACTTTTTTTTCCGTGCATTAATATATTCCGAAAACTGACATTGAAATAAGCACCTTTCCCCCTCTTCTAGAGCTTAAGTGCAGAATTGCAAGCGTCGACACGCATTATCTCGTCAGAGACGATTCTCTGAAGTTGGTGTGAAAACGGCGTTTTTTTTTTAACTAATCGAAAACTAATCAAATTGTTGTTTCATAGGTCGGTGAGACTTTTCCCCTCCATTTGTGAAATGAGTTATAAAAATCTACAGAAAATTCAAAATTGACTTTTGTTAGTTTCCCTTTAAAAAAAAGAAAAACGCCATAAATGAAGATTTCTGACTTCACAATCTGAAGTACGCTTTTTTTACTTCAGCCGTCAATTTTTATTGGATTTAATCGGAGAAAAATCAGTGATGCCAATTTTTTAGAATCTCCATTGCATTACTCTCTGATTTTCTTTTGCAATGTTCAAACTAACTGTTCCCTACATTTGCCACCCAGAAGTTCAGGATGGAGCCCACTTCAATGCTGTTTATCATAATTAAAAATGTAAATCGTCCGAAATAAGTTATCCAATTTCTCAAATTTTCATTTCTGAGTGGTCAGGTTTAGAGCTTTTTCAAGCTAAATTTCATGATTTTTTGGCTACTGGAATAAGGGTCACGAGTGCACCATGCAGGTGGAGATTTTGTCCCTTCATTGACCTTAGAATGTATCTGTATTTCTATGCAAGCTCCGGTACAGATAAAGCTTTCTGGGTAACGGGGCTCATTACGAATCAAAGTTTGCCTTTACAGAAATAGCATGTGGATATGGCCACATTCTGACCATGAGGGGAATCCTACCGAATTGTATTAATTTTCAGAATGAGTGCACATTTTAAAATCGTGTGTAAATTTCGTACAGGGTATTAATATCATTACAATTTCACATTAGCTAGTAATATACGCAATGAAAATCAATAAGGGTCAATCGATTGCTATGTTTATTTTTAATGAGTCAAAACTTATTTGTTGTCGTCTGCAGAGGTGGGAACTTCAGCCTGACTCAAAATCGAATCCCTGATTTGGAAGCATAAAAGAGTCTCCTATAAGCGCATTTTGAGACCAAAGACTTACCAAATTCATTTAAGCAAGAAAGTTCCTTCTTTTCGAGAGAAGCTCCTCTCAGCATTATGTGCATGCATCCAGAGAATGTCATTCATAAACGTTTTAAATGGTTTCAGGACATTTTGTCAACGATTTTTTGTCCGCGCACTTTTTTGTCCAGTAGTATACGCCCACTCGCAAAATACGCAACAGTGACTTGGTCCAAGCGTTATATTTTAGCCCGTATGTAAAATTATATTGACAATATGGAAATAAGAAATTGAGAGAGAGGGAGGTGTTGTTATGGTCGCTCATTTTCTAAAAGAAATGTTATTACTTTCTCCTTTTGAATCATCTTTTTAAATGGTCATTGGTGAATATTTGGTTTTATTTCTATCCTTAAAATATTCGATGTACAATATACCTTATACATATAAGTACTTTTTTTTCATTTTTTTCTCTATGAAATTATAACTTCATTTTGAAAATATTTTTATTTTTAAAACGTGACAAATATTTGTAAAACCTTTTCCAAGTGACATTAATCTCAATGAGCCGCAGTTGTGCCGACAGAAACTGCAAAAATGAATAAAAGAGGGAAAAAAACCAAGAGGCACGCAACTTTAGTTTTAACCCATTTGTACATCGATCTTTTAGAGTCAAATACGTCAAATTTTGAGTGTCTGGTTGCGCGTACACTTCGCTGCAGCACAATAAAAGCAGAAAATGTAAAAGAAAAAATTAAAGTGCTTTGGAAATCATTAAATCTGACACGGAACCACCAATATTTAAAAAAAAACACACACATTATTATTCTCCTTTGATAAATTGATACATATTTTTTCCCCATCAATTTAAATGAGAATAATCAATGCAGAGTGTGCGAACATTTCAAAATCATGAGTTAAAAACGCTGACTATGCGAGTATAAATATTAAAACCTAACAGAGCGGAGCGGCGGCGTGCTGACAGCGCGAGAGGCTCACTGGCGCCTACAAACCTAAGTGGATACGTCACGCACTGCACAATGCTTGAAGTATCCACTTAGGTTTGTAGGCGCTGGCCGGCGCTGGCGCTGGCCGCCCGCCTGCCGTACGGCGTCGCCTGAAGCAACTATTTCACAACAGAGGTGTTGCACAGTATTTTACGAAATTGAACGTATTAAGAATGACAGGCATCCTTTAAAAGTACAGATCTTTCCTCGCAAAAAAAAACTCAAGATACTTATCGTACACAGGAAAAATCTAAGAGCCTATAGCTGAGACAAACATAGAGGTTTATCCGGTTCAGGTATAACAAGGTGAGAATTTCTTGAAAGATAATTAAGTCCTGTTACACCAAAGAGGTGTAGAGAGTTTTAGTGAATTTTGTCTCATGGATTTGACGCTCCCCCTTTTTACCAAAACTCTCAACTATATATTATTCTCCGTTGGACCAAACAGACAAAACAAAAAAAGCAAACAAACCCTTATTCATCCAAGACATTATACCTTCTCATCCAAAAACGTCGTGAGCAATTGTCGTTTGTATTTACATGTGGGCCAATTAACTTTGGGTCTCAACTGGCAGGTGGACCAAAACTCCCGTGCCAAAAAAACGCGCGGACGTAAATTACTGGAAAAACAGGTGCGCGGACAAAAAATCGTTGATGAAATGCCCTATAACCTTTTAAAGTTGCTATATGCTCGTTACTGTAGTGATGATATTGGTTTTGGGTCTACCTTTTCATTTCTGTAAGCAATGAAGTTTTTATGACCATATCAAATGCAAAAACTTCTGCACGGTTTCCAATTTTAAGTCATTATTTACGTCAGTTGATTTGTGCATAATAATTATTCATCTGTCAAATTATGATACAAGCATATTTGCTCAGTTGCAGTGTCAAATACGTAAAACAATTTCTCGGGTTACACATACTTGCGTCTGCAAAATATTTTTTGCAGATATATGGGTGCATTTTTTTAATTTCGTGGATTTTTGTGTCGTATCGTTTGGCAGGAAAATGATTTTTAATTTGAATTAGTTTGTTCACATTTTATCGTTCCAGAAAGGCCCTCTATACATGAGTTGGTCAATGGAAAGTTCCACGAACAAACTGTTATTTCCTCCGTAGGTGTTTCCTTCGTGTAGTAAACATACTTATAAAAAGGTCATTTCTATTGATTTATAGGAATTTTTGAATTTTGTAGAAATTCATTAACGGAAATACAGTGAAGCGGTTTCATTTACCAGCTGTATTCAATCAGAAGTGTTTAATCTACTTTGAAGACAGACGCTTTAATTTCAAGGCGTGAATACAACTATTCGCACTTAAGGGATATCAATGTTGCATAACCAAAAATCTGAAGGCACTAGGCCTTGCCCTCATTCATATTGATTCGCTGTCCGCGTAGTCCGCTTCTCCGGTGGTGAATCTTGAGAGTTGGCGACGTTGCTTTTCCTCTATTCACATGTATGTAAACCAATCGATTCTGGATGAGGCAGCTCACCTAAAATCAATTATTTTAATGGATATAAATTAATTGAGAAAAAAAAGTTTTGCCGACTTGCAAATTCGCCACTGGATAAAAGATATTATCTGCTGTCGCGCTGCCAAAAGTGCAAGAATAGTTTTAATAATATCCTCAAAATTGAGTTCTCTCTCATCAAAATATGATCACTTAAACGGTATTTACACCGCAATACGTCATGTTCTATAGAGGCGTAAGATAACCGAGAGAATAGCCATAAGGACATTAGGGGCTGCGTACTCACATTTTCCAAGATTGAAGAAGTAACTGTATTTTCATAATTTATTATTTCCAGCTCAAACAACTAGATCTCTAGAACGTGGCCAGGCAAAGTTCCAGAAATTTTTCCTTTTAGCTGAAAAATAGAGGACGCTTTGTGCCCTCAACAGACCGCTTCTCGTGTCATATTTCAAGATTTTAAAAAAATGTAGGCTCACCGAGAGGGCAATAACTGCGAATAGCCGCAAAAATAATGGTATCAAAGGAGTATCATACTATCTCAGGTATCGAAGCGCAGTTTTCAACTAGCAACAGGGCTCGTTGTGTTTAATCACCCAAAATCCAGCCTACATACGATTGTTTAAATGAAATATCCTTACATTGAATGTAGATCTCCTCTCTCCTAATATAGCGGATCTGTACATGCGGAGAGGACGGACATGTCGGTGATTTTCAAGGTTAGGTCATGGAGTTTTTAGGGCTAAAAGAAGCCGCAGTCAACCTATGGCCTTAAATTATCCAGAATGATCTGTTATTACAATTGCTACGACCCGTCCTTTGTAAAACACGTATTTAACTCAGTTTTTGGATTTTACTTATTTTTGCGGAAGAACGCTCGATAAACGTTCTTGGCCATCTTGATTTTTTATTGGAACCTGATGATTGACAGCGGCTTTTTTCCAGTGTTTCTCGTGTTAGGAGGTCAGCTGTCCTTTTCGGCTCTGAGAACACTATAAATTTCGACTTGTCCAAGCATCTACGTACTCTAGCTTAAAGCCAAAATCACACGATAAATTTGCCAGCTGAATAGGAGAGTCAACATCCATCGCTCAGCAGCTAAAATTTCTTATGACTATACAACAAATTTTAGCCTAAATACATGAAATTAAACAATTTTATTAGAACAATCTAACAAACCAACCAATCTATATAATTCTGGTTTTTACTGTGTTACTTTTTATTGCTGTGGTTTGTTAATTTTATGTGTTTCGTGAATTGTACCTCGATGATGGCGTTTGACGAAATGCATAGGTATGCTAAATCAATTTAATTAAATTTTGTAATTTTATGCATCTACGTAGCATAGTCATATTTAATGGATGCAACAATCCAGGAATTGAAGAAATTATTAAAATTTCTTCAATCCTAGTTATCTTTATCCAGAATTGTATGAAATCTATTCGAATAGTTGAGGTAAACTGATAGCTGCGGAGCTCGGCCCTCCGATCTTGATGGGTGCCTTGAATTTTGCTCGAATCGGACAGATGACTGTCATATTTGGATGTAATTCTATCAAACGGAACTATGTGCATTGGGACATGAGCCCTGAGACCCATAAGAATATGTGCCTGACAGGGCTCGCATCATAATGCACATAGTTCCGTTTGATAGAAATACGTCCATTTAGTATGTGATTCCGAGCCAGTATCAAAATTTTGTCTTCAATTGAAGAGGTCATATTGGAATGATTGTTGCAGATTTGCAGTGGAGTGCTCCTCCTGATATTGAGCATAGCGGGAAGCGTGCCTGTGCCCGGCGGCGACTACTCGCACGCGCAGTACTACGGCTACTCGGACGAGGACGGCGACGGCTACGAAGATGATGGCCACTACGACGCCGGGCACAACGGCTACACCGGGCACAACGGCTACACTGGGCACAACGGCGGCTACTACCAGCCATACCAGCCCTACGTCTACCACGGACACCCGGGCATCGGATACTCCGCCCAGGTCTTCGGATACAACGGATACGCACACCCCACTTACTACGCACCCTACCATGATCATGAACATTATGTGAGTTATCCTGAGTAGTTGATTAGTTTTAAAATTAAAATCGATACACAAAAATAGCCGAAACAATTTAACGAGACAAAACAAAAGAAAATGGGAAACCAAGGCTAAAAATAAACAGAGTGTCTGCGACGTTTCGGGATGATCGCACCCCCATCCGCGACCAGGAAACAGAAATTGAAAAATGCAGAAATAAATGCAAACCATTCCGAAGTGAGGTTTTATTTGCCTATAAGACCATAAAATTTACTTAAATTCCGAAGGTAGATGTATTTACTCAGTTTTGAATCCAATATTGCGTACTACATTTTGAAACGTCTTTTTAACTCGAACCCCTAAGATGACAAGGTTGGTAACAGGTGGAGCATAGGTGATGAACGTCAAAGGTTGGGAACGACCTGCTCTTACCCTCTCCAACCTTCCCTCACTTAACTTTGTTTTTCGTTTTGTCTGCAACTTACAATTGGACGTATTTCTGCCAAACGGAAATATGTGCATTAAGACATGAGCCCTAGGACCCATAAGAATATTTGCATAACAGGGCTCATGTCAAAATGCACATAGTTCCGTTTGGCAGAAATACGTCCAATTAGTCAATTGCTTTGTCTATCACTTTTCTATCGCTTTGTCTAAAATTTTATGTATACTCTTATCTATAGCTTCATCTATAAGATTGTCAATAGCTTTGTCCACAACTTTGCCAATCCCTCTGTCTATCACATTGTCTATAGCTTTTTCTATCATAGTGTCAATGGATCTGTCTATCACTTTGTCTGTCGCTTTGTCTATAGTTTTGTATATAGCTTTATTTATCGATCTGTCGAGCGGCCATTTGATTGGACCTTAAGAGCTCCATGTAACCTAGTGGCCATATACTCTTCCTGTAAAGGTACTGTGGTACCAACACTATTCTTTAGTATTTATGTTGGATACCTGGGTTGAAATCTAATTTAGTGATGTTTGTTTCAGCACTACCCGAAGTACAAGTACGAATACGGGGTTCACGACCCCCACACGGGTGACGTGAAGCAGCAATACGAGGAACGTGACGGGGACGTCGTCCGCGGCTCGTACAGCCTCGTCGAGGCCGACGGCACGATCCGGGTGGTGGAGTACACGGCCGACGACAAGCACGGCTTCCGGGCCGTCGTCAAGAAGATCGGCCACGCCGTCCACCCACCCCCGCACCCCCACCACCACGAGTACAGCCACGCCCCCGCCGCCTATTCCGGCTACTACCCCGCCGCCCCCGTCGCCCCTGTGGCCCCCGTCGCCCCTGTTTATCAGTACCAGACGCCCGTCTATCATAGCGCCCTACCGCAGCCCATACCGCCTCAGGTTAGCTTCTTTCTTCTTCCATTCAAAGTTCACGCGAAAAAAAGTCTCTTGGACCTAGAGTCCAGACTCTGAAAAAATTTCACTAGACAAAATACTCTTGATTCAAACGGGTTTTTGCTTGAATTGGACGTATTTCTATCAAACGGAACCAAGCGCCATCGGGTGAGGAAGGGAGAGGGGGGTTTTTGGATTGGCGGGTGTTGCGGGACGCGATGCTCGTCCCGTCCTATACTCGCAATGCTTTTCCATGGCGCTTAGTTCCGTTTGACAGAACGCAGTATCCGGCATTCTTAAATCCTCAAAAGGAACTCGGATTGGCGCTTAGTTCCGTTTGACAGAAATACGTCCGATTGAGAGCCAAACCTCTTAATTTAAGCGGATTTCCTTTTGATTTAAGCAAACATCCAATTGGACGTGTTTCTGTCAAACGGAACTATGTGCGTTGAGACATGAGCCCTGAGACCCGTAAGAATATACGCGTAACAGGGCTCACGTCATAATGCACATAGCTCCGTTTGGCAGAATTACGTCCAATTGAATCAAGAGTATTTTTTTCGTGTCAAATATTTTTAAGAGTCAGGACTCTGGGTCTAAGAGACTTTTCCCCCGTGTTTAGTATCTTTATGATGAGAGCTACGTACATATCGGTAATTTTAGAGCTCTTGGGGCCGAAAAGGGCAGCCAACATATGAACTCAAATTATCTGGAATGATGTTTTATTGCAATTTTTTATTATTTTCTTTTATCAGTATCTTCATTTATACATATACAGATTACAAAAGATAGAGGGGTGGCTACTGAGAGCCACAGGAGCTCCATGCTTAAACATGTCCGCTCTTGCCTATTTCAGAGACAACTTATGTGCTTTAAGTTTCCCGATGGAGAAAGGTACTTTTGTAAGTTAGCTAGAAATTATAATGCGTAATCGCAAAATTTCGTCCAATTTGTTTTCAAATCACGGCATTTCCTAAGAATTTGTTTTCCTATTCCGTTTTCCCAGGCGTACTCACCAACGGCGGCAGCGACTCCCGGCTACCCGGAGGCCTTCCACAACGCGTACGTAGTCCCCCTACAAGGTGACGCCCCTTACCAGGGCTACGGACCTCACGCTCAACACTTCGGCAACGACGCGTACACGGACGGACTTTACAAGAAACGATCGCCAGCCAAGAACAAGGAAAATCAGAAGGAGACACAGGACTCTCAACAGTCGGTGAAGAAAGAAACCAAGGCTGAATCCGAGAAGGAAAGCGAGGAAGCCAAGAAGAAGAGGGAAGAGGAAGAGAAGAAAGAGAGGGAGGCTAGGAGTCGGAAAACCCTCCTGGAAAAGCAGAAAGAACTGAAGCAGAAGTTGACCAGGCAGTGATGTGGCACGTAGGAACAAAATTTAAAGACAGGACTGAAGGACTGAACAGGGTCAGGAACAGTGGCGTGGCGTGCGTTGCTATAGATCCATCTATCCGCTATTTAAACCTATGGAATAGGATCGATAAATAGGGTGTTCGCAACGAGCACCTCAATAATCGATTCTTTACCATAGCTATGAATGGGGAGATATCGATAAGCGAACATTCACGCCTCGCCATTGGTCAGGAACAATGCACCGCGCCGATGAATCAGAATGGTAGAGCGCCTGACAATACTTGGACCGCATTTAACAGAAAGGAGCCAAGTCACATCAGCTAATTGCCAACTTTAACTTGGAAATTTAATTTTTTACAAGAGGACGTTTGTGCGGTTACCTTTAAAAAATCTCTATGAATTTGCTTAGTGCCAACCAAAAAATTCACTGAAATTTGCACGAAAATCCGCACAACCGTTTTCTTGTGAAATACTAAATTGTCCAATTAGATTTGGCAATAGCTGATGTGGCTTGGTTCCGTTCTGCTTAATACGATCTACTTGATAACGCACGTATTAACAGACGCATAGAAATAAACATTCGGTAGATCTATCAGACGACTGTTTAACACTACCAGAAATCCAGTACTAGTTATTGGATTTCCTGGAGAGCATATCGATGGCCACAGTGCGAATGCACGTACCTCCGTTTGCGACATTACAGACTTCCTGTCATGCTTTATTTTCTTTTCTTTTTTTCTTCTTTTTTTATTATTTTTTTTTTTAACAACTATTCGACGTCATTTCCTGAAAAGTGTCCTGATTTTTCTCCTGCGTCAGCAAACTATTCGGCAATAATTTCTAGTCATAAATTTGGCTCGTTTTTTCGCGGAAAAATAAATTAGGAGCGGAAATTTTGAAACACCGTAATGGAGATACGTGGTTTTGTACTTTGGTCAAACGAAATTTAACACAACAGTCTGGTGTCCGCTACCATTCTTTTTCCTGCGTGCGCAGTGAATGTTTTCACTTGAATATTCTCGGTATGTTTGACGTGTTTTGTATGGAGTTAGATGAAGAAACGTGTCCAACAGATTTTAAAATCCTTGCCCTGTTTAGTACTCCATTTCATACGTCTTAATAAACAAAAATGTTGAACATGTCAGCATCGATGAGGCATAATTTTGGCCCTTCGTTTGATTGAGTAAAGACACGGTCCCGACACATCGGTGGCACCATTAAAATCCAATAATGATTTTCATTATGTCCATCTTTATGGAATTCAGCGAGGGAAATAATGGCACACCTTCGTATCCATCTGAAGTCAATTCATAAGCTCAAAGAAGATGGTCATTCAAATTCTAGGTCGTATTTGGACTGAATTTTGCAACAAGGAACCACTATTTATGACTCTATTAAGAAACAACATACAATGTGGGCCATTGGTTTTCCAATGCAGATATTTGTTTATATAAATAAGCCAGAGATAGTGGTTTCTCATCGCAAAAAGGAGTCTAATTGAGGAGCATCTTCCCTTTATGAGAAATCACATCTACATCTTAAATCAAAAGGTTTCTCGCGAAATCCACAAATGGAAATAATTGGTATGTTTTACTCAAATCCTTAAAGACACGCCGCACATTGATGAAAGATAAAGTAGGGACAGTTCTACAATTTGCCTAACGAAAGGCGAGGACATAAAGCCAAGTTCAAAGAATGTTCATAATTACCTCATACTCATTCACTTAAATCCAGCCATCAAAAAGACGGAAAACTTCATGCAGCTACCAAGTAGTTGCATTGTAGGTTTATTAGAAAGTCTCTGAGAGATTTATTGTGATAATATCATCATGTCAGGCTACGTGGTTAGATAGAGATGGGTATTTCTTTCAGCTATAAAACGCCGATGGTGAATGTAGAAAATAATGTAAATTTGACCCCTATGTTCCAAAATTTGTGACCTAACTTTACTTTCCTGCCAGAAAACAATACAATTTATTTAAAAAATGAAAAAAAATCCAAAAGGTTCATATCTCGAATCTTTTAGAACCCAGACTCTTAAGCTTGCGTAAAAAAAAATTTACATCTATTAGATAGTACCTCTTTTTCCCCTGCAAAATCAAAATCATTCATTCTTAAGTTTGGATACCTATTTTTGTCATAAATCGATATCAATTCATAGCCTTTTTTCGGCTCCAAAATCCATCTTTATTTCGTGGCCTGATATTGTGATATATTCTTTACGCAAGAAACACCTGCAGCCAGGTAGCGCACACTTTGTAAATATTACTTTTAGTTGCTAACTTTATATAATAAATTATTTTAAAACCCTTTTTGCATTATTAAAACTCGCCAACACCTACAATAAAACATGTACGTAGCGTTTTATTCTCTCACAATACAGGTTTTAATGAAAACATAACTAATCGAAGACACCCGCAGTTTGAGTCGGGAAATGCACTTTTTTGAGAAGCGTTCTGGATACAAATACTGCTGCCCATAAAGCATGAAAATGAAGACTTCTTACCCAAGTTTATCATTCGGAGAAATTACAACCAACTCCTCATCATGAATTTTGAAAGAGGTTCAAAATGTTTTTTTTTTTTTTTTTTTTTTTTTTTTTTTTTTNTCAACTTCTTTCGCAATCCAAAGTCTTTCTCTTTTCTTGTTTTCGTAATTCTCTGGGATCTTCAAGGAATTAAAATCAAGATATGAATCAGTTCACGTACCGAAAACTTACAACACGTCCATTTTTAAGATTAATTTTTGAACTGAATCAAACAGAGCCGGGCGACACTAACCGCTCTAATTACTTTCAAATTAATTAGAGTGAGTTAGCGCAGCGTGGAATTTCGCGGCGAGTCCCTGCACTCATCCACTGCGTGTTTGCAGATGCGTGCGCGCACTAAAACAAAGAACTCGCGCAACCGCGAAATAGCTCGAGCAGGTCCGTTGCCAAATTGTTAGGGATACCGCATACTTTTCCGTTGAAAAAATGAATTGATTCAGCGACTTGGATAGCATCGCCCTCATATTTATATGTGAATGGATCTGCTGCACTAAATAATATAGATACATGAATAGATCTTTCCGAGGTAGAACTGTCCAAAAATATCACGATGTTCATTTTAAAAAAGCTTGACGACTCCATGACGCAAAGTTTGCGTGGTCCCTATTTAGAATTTCCCGCATTCATGGGTGAATTTTTTTCTTCGACATGCAAATTTGACCGTATTGCTTCGTGAATCGATTCATATAAGGAATTAAAATCATTATCTAATGAGCACAAAAAATACGAACTGGAATGAAATAATGGAGCACTAGACAAGGTACGAATTTAAGCGATCTGATACATGTTCCTGAACCAGAATTTCACGTAAAACACGATTCGCACAACGAAAATTACTGAAACCAACTCCTTACGAAGACATTTACGTTTTTATTTCACATTGGTTACGAGGAATTTGAACTGCCCGCTCACAAGAAACTCAAAGCTCTAAGTGAGTCAAATCGTGCACAACGACGGTTTCAGCAAGCTTCTCAATCGAGCAATATTCATTTCCCACCATGTGTTGTTCAAACTATAAGCGATTTGCTATAACTGAACCAAAGCTTCAAGATCGATGTTGCCAGATTTTTATATCGCAAAGACTGTCATGATAATGTTTAGCGCTCGATGTGAATCACGTAGAACATTGAGTCTTCATGAGCGAGTGGTTTGAATTCACGCATCAAGAATCATTAAATAGCTTCGTAAGGAGTTGATTTGTGTACTTTTTAGTTGTGCGCATTGTGTTCTGCGTGAAATTTTGATTGGGAAACATGTATCAGAATGCTGAAATTCGTACCTTGTCTAGTGGTCCATTGCCAAACTTTCGGGCAAATAGTCCCTTAGACGAAAAAAATGTGAGTGGGTACAGTCCTGGCACCATTTTAATGCCTTGCAAATATTTATTTTCGGTATGATGAGGATCAGTGCAAGATCNGGGGGGGGGGGGGGACGTATGTTCATTACGTCGTTTTTCTCGCGGAGGAACGTAACTACATTCCAATGTTGCCCGAGTTTCCCGCGCAAACTTAAATTTTACTACGAGACTTTGAGAATTTATGACTCAAAAATTCACTAATTTTTCTTCGATCTCATGCAAAAAATCAGACAAATTTTCGACGAAAACGATGCAAGTTTAATGTGGTAAAAAATTGAATTGTTTGAATCAATTTCGGAACCTTGGAATTGCATTACGTTCCCTCGTGCAGGAAACGACGAGCTCAAATTTGTAACTCAAATTGGAATTTTTGGAATCTTTTGGCCTTGCTTTCTCCGCAAGGCTTGGATCAAGTAATATTTGTACGTAATTCTATCAAACGGAACTATGTGCATTATGACGCGAGCCATGTTATGCATAAATTCTTATGGATCTCAGAGCTCATGTCTTAATGCACATAGTTCCGTTTGGCAGAAATACGTCCATTTCACCATTTGGCTCTTCTCAACGATACAAGGGGACGTATTTATGCTAAATGGAACTATGTGCAAGTGGAAAGATGGGATGTGCTCGTCTGCTCGTTAGTGGTCGGGCCATAAGAATGAGTGGTAAATATAAGGCGCCGGTGACGTCAGCGGCAACAACGAGATACACGACGATCGGGTGCAGGCCAGCCACAAGGGGGGGGGATAATGGGTCCCTGGTACCGGGGCCCGTGTTACCCGTCAAAAACTACTACGAATTCACATGCAACCCTTGTTTCGTAAGAAAAAGTGAAAAATTTACCCTAAAATTTTCGCAAAAGGTGAATAGATTTTCAGAGACTCGCTGGGGCACTGTAGAATTCTTCTGAAATTTTCAAAGAAGTATACTTCTTGGAAAATTTCTATCTGTTTTCAAGATTTTCAGTACAGAGGGATATATTTAGTAACTGCGTTTCATTTTATTCCGTCGTCAGATGCTAAGAGTCTCCAGTCTGGGCATCCTCGACTTCAATGGCTCATGGCTCAACTCCCATGCCATAGACAAACAAACGGGGAGTCCAGGTGGGCATGGCCCTCTTAGAACTGAAAATAGTATCATATCCCCCCCCCCCAAAAAAAAATAAAAATTTTCCAGATGTTTTGAATGCAACAATTCGCAAGTATGTTGCGCTGAAGGCGTTTTCAAAACAGCCAAGTTCGGATACCCGGATTATTGTTTTGCAAAGTCCTTATTATTATGTTTTATTTCCTACCATTTGTTTGTTTTCAATCCTCCTATAAAAACTACTCATTTGCTGAACACACTTCCGGCTGGAGCGCATTTTAGCTATGCATTCATGACTACTAAAATGTCAAAGGAAATCGACAAGACTTGCGTGTATGAAGGCTATTTCAATTGTAATCTGCCGTCGCATTTCTAAGGCGCAATGATACAACTATTTGAACTCTCCGGAATGCGTGAGGTATCACGCCGCATTTGAAGGCGTTTTCAAAACAGCCAAGTTTCGATACCAGGTTTGTGGTTTCGCAAGAACTTTAAGCACAAAATCAATAGAATGACTGATTTTACGAGCTAATGCAACTCAATAAACTTGTGCTTTATTTGACGGCTCACGAACTAACGCTCAGTTCCTTTTGATGTAATTGAAAATCCCGCTTTTCTATTTTCTCAAAAGGGACGTTATCCACTGACCACATTGTTTCTTATCCGTCTTCCACGAACACACCCCATCATTCCACTTGCGCATCGGTCCTTTTAGCATATACATGTCCAAAAGTAGACACTATTTCTGCACAGTTGTGTCCATTTGTCGACGTCGCGTTTACAAAGCGACGTGTTTGCAACACGCATGGTCACAATGAGTACGTTTAATAAGAACAGCGGTAATGAGTGGGTCTCGGCCAGCGAGAATTATCTCGGCGAGGAATTATCCGAGGGTGAAACGGAAGCTGCCGACAGATGTCCGTCTACGACACATAGCCAGTTCAAGCTCGGCTTTCTCTGTTTCCCAATATTTCCTTCGTTGTTCAATGTTCGCACTATGCTGATACACATGTGGAAAGCTCACCGGGAAACTGACCTACCTGACGATCTTGAGCTGTGACGGCAAGCTGCAGCATGTCTCCTGCCGTGCTAAGGAAGAACGCCGTATGAACATTCAAGAGTTGTTAAAGTTCCTTCAATAAAATGTTTATTTTTTAGGTAAGATATGAATATTTTTCCTTGAAATTTTTAGGGACTTTAGGTGGAATTACGAACAAAAATATCTGAAAAAATGGAAGAAAAATATTCATAAGTTGATACCAGGAAATTTGCATTTTATCAAAGGAAATTTGGCAACGCCCGAGGGCTCATATGGCGTTCTTCCTTAGCACGGCAGTGTTGGTGCTCGACGAATTGAAGTATTAGATACAGAGGTAGAAACAGAGGGAGAGACAGAGACCCTCTTTCTTACCGTAGGAAGGAAAAACGCCGTGTGACCTTTTGGACGCAGCCAAATTTCCTTCAATCAGGACCTTTACTGGAAGAATTTTGAATATTTTTCTTCAACATTTTCAGACAATTTGTTCGCAATTCGATCGAAAAAATCTGAATATTTCAAGGGAAAATATGAATAACTTTCTTAGAAAATAGTTGCTTTATCCGGGGAAATATGCCAACTCTCAAATGGTTATACGGCATTTTTCCTTAGCACGGGAGCCTAGCTCGCTGGAGATCCCTACTGTATCGTCACGAAATGGAAAGAAGATGACGAAAGAACGCAAGGCGGGGGAACCTTGTGCGGGAAAAAGGAAAAGGGAAACAAGAGCGACGGGGGTCCGTGCTCCTTGCTCTGTGGCGAGTGGTGTCCTGGATGGAGTCAAGCGGAGAAAATGAGAGACCAGACCTTCCGAGTTCCGCGAGACGAACGCCAACACGAGCGCGCGCGACTGCCTCTGATAATTAATGTCGTCCAAGATCACACAGAAGCGCCACCAGGGCGAGAGGTCACGCCACCAGAGCGAAGGGTCACGCCACGAGGGCGAGAGGTCGCGCCCAAGTCGTCGACCGGAACTATAGAGTACATAGAGTCGTAATGTAAATGGGAGAGCTGGCGCCATGTTCTGCTCGACGAATTCCGAGCCCGGTGTGCGCCGAGTTCGGGTCGCTTTTTCGATACATTTTCAATCCAAAATGGTGGCTTGGAATACGTGGTAATTCCTATCTCCGTTGTTGTTGTTGTTGTTGTTGTCATCGGATGGCCGGGTACCCGTGTATCGCAAACAATCGATTATGTATCGAAAAAGTGACCTGGCGTCACACAGGAGTCTCGGAATTCGGGACATGGAAAATGCTTAAAAGTGGCGCCAGCTCTCCCACTT